ACAGAAAAAAGAAAAAAAAAAAAACAAAAAACAAAAGTTATGATATACGTATATATTGTCAAGGGTTTTTGAACATTAGTCCTTGCAAAAGATTAAAATTTAAAAAAAAAACCTAGTGTTAGATTACATATTCAATTTAATCCCTTGAAGTGTACTTTTATCAAAATTTATATTCAATTTTTTTATTTAATATGTATTTTTATTTAATCTCTCCACAGTAAATTTTAATCTTATTAATATGCACATATTTAGTTCTTTAATTATAAATGAACATAAATGAGAAAACATAAAAAGAAATTTATGATACAAAAATATATAAATACATAAGTGTACAAAAATGACTGTGCCAAAATATATAAAATTGACTTTTTTGTATCGAAATATTTGTACCACATGATTGTTACGAAATATATTATAATGAACCTAAATCTATGTACCGATACGTATTATATTGAATTAATGTACCCAAATGTCAATACCAAAATGTATGTACCAAATTGTACGTACCGAAATGCATGTACCGAAAATAGTATATTGAATTAATGTACCTAAAAGTCAATACTCAAATGAGAGGTATTAGGTTCAAACCTCGTGGATGGCAAATTCGATAACAAATTAAGTTATCCATTGTGTGGCTTAACCAAATCTTCCTCGTTTTAGTGTAAAATATATCATTGTACTAAAAAAAACACTCAAATGTGTGTACCAAAATGTATATACCAAAATGCATGTATATGTTTCTATTGATGAATTAATGTACCTATATGTTTGTATCGATGGATATACCGAAATATTCAAATGTATTAATGCACCTAAATGAAAAACATACAAAATTGTTATCAGACTATATATTATAAAAAAAATTAGTTGCCTAAATGTAGACATTAAAATATATTATGGTAAATGAAATAAAAATTAAATTTAAATGTAATTAATACATTAAAATAGGAATAAAAAGATAAATAAAACATCAAAATATAACTAATAAATGAGATGATTAAATGAACTAGGGACTAAAATTGGATTGTAATCTTACACAAGGTTATAGTCTAAAACTCATCTTTTTTAAGAATTAAATTAAAGATTAAAATGAAGTTTTCTACCAACATATTCATCTCACGCCCCTTTGGAAAAACACCGTTCCAAACATACCAATATTAGTACTTATGGTAAGTAAATGTTCAAACAACTGTTCAAAGTTCCTAGAGATCCTTTTAAGGCTTGCTAAAACACCCGTTGTCTAACTTGACTTATCGCCCCTTGTTATTTGTTGTCTTTTGTCTTGTTCTCGGCATATTCCGAAATTGTGAATTGTGTACCGATATTCTTCTCGTCAGGTTTCTTAACCTCAATCTTTCTTTCTTCTTTAGCGATGGATATATGGCAGTGACTGGCGTTCTTCGCCATCCATTGGCAACAAATAGTAGTTTTGTGGTAGCAGCACTCCCAGCTAGGGTTAGGGTTGATGCAATCCTATAGGCTATAGGAAAATGTAGTTTATATTCCCTCCTGTTTAAATAATGTAAAAGTACAAGGAAAATTTTGTAAAAATTATTTCTTCCTTTGCACACGTTATTGTTTTTGTACATGATTTTATTTACTTTATACGATTTAGCAGTAAAAGATGAGCGTGAGGTGTGGTGTGGAGAAAAAAATGTTGCGTTGAAATCTATTTCTAGGTACAAGTGATGAGTGTGGATGTTTTTTTTTAGCTCTTCTATAATTAAGTGGTTAGGAATGCAAAAAATGAAAATTATAAGTGACTGCATACTTAAAAAATTACAAATATTTATGTTATAATATTTATTGTACTGAATCATGTACACGGCACACCGAAAAATTTATTGCCCAAGATGGGGGACAACTTTGTAAATTTCCGTGCGTTGCCCATGTAAGTCTCTCCGTAGCTAAATAGGATGGCAGTCTAGTGAATACGAAAACGCACGAGGGTAAATTCGGTACATCGGTAATCGAGGAGCGAGAGAGAATGTATGTGTGACAACTTTGTAATTTACGTATCGCAAAAATAAAATGAGGCAGCACCAAAAGCGCAGGCCAAAGACACCAGAATCACCTCCACGCGCTCTTCGCTCGTGTCAATGCCTCTAGGTAAACTTTGTCAGGAAAAGTGTATCTCACGCGCGGGAAATGGAGCGCGGAAGGGGCGGTGGTGGGGAAGACGGAGATTTTTAGGGTTGATGAGACTTGAGATACAAAGAAGAGTGGGACTGTGAAAGGGTAGGTCACTCATAAGTCAGTGGCTAAATCGGATAATGTTAGAGAAATCAATTATTTAAATTAAATTTTTTAAATTATATATCATGATTGTTGATGGTTGAATTATTATTTAGAGATTCTTTTTTATTTATTTATTTAAATTAGGGACAAGCTAAGAAGACTCACATAGTCATTTTAACTTTCTTTGACCACAAGTTTGACTTCCACACAAGCAGTGAATCCAAAATCTCTAATTTTTAGTTTGAAATCTCGTAATCCGTCATTTATCATCTCGTAGTTAACGTATTTATTTACTATTAATAACATTATATCATTTATAAAGTTAATCTAAAAAATCAATCTAACAGTACTCCCGACAGTAACAACACCACTCCCACCATATTTGCTGCCAAAAGGTCCAAGGGCCCCTCCTCTACTTCCTCATTTTGCATCGACAACTCTCTCTCTCTCTACTTCCATAAAATGATATGTCCATGACCTCTTGTCAATGCCATCTCTCTCTCTCTCTCTCTCTCTATGACCTCTTGTCAATGCCATCTCTCTCTCTCTCTCTCTCTCTCTCTCTCTCTCTCTCTCTCTATGACCTCTTGTCAATGCCATCTCTCTCTCTCTCTCTCTCTCTCTCTCTCTATACTTCCATAAAATGATATGTCCATGACCTCTTGTCAATCCCAAGATTCCGATTCCACCCGTTCGAACATCACTAGTCGACATAATTTTACTATATAAATATTATAATTCGAATTGTTTATTTTATTTATCATTAATATCTAATTATCATTTATTTATGTCAAACAAATTACGACTATAATAAAAAGTAAAATCTTCACGATTAATCGTCTACATGTTTGATTCATGTGAATACCTAAATTTTATTCAAATCAAAAGAATTATTATTGATATGATCTTTAGAAGATGATAAGATGAATGAGTGGTTCGGATTATTATCTTTGGACAATAAAATAATATCACTTCATCATATATTAAGAAAAGACTCTTTAACCGTAAGAGATTGATCTTCAACTAAATAGTCTAAATCATATAGCATAAAATCGAAAAAGATCACTACTTAATTTGGTCATTTTCTTAAGACAATTTACACAAAACTTTTGTAAAGAAAAATCCAAATGATTTTTTTTGTTTGTTTTTAGTTTACTAGTAGTTTCATTTTGGTATGGGAAATAATAACCATGCACTCTTTTTCTCTTTATTTATCCTATTTAATATGTATTTGTTGTTTTCGTTCAATTTGTCATATGGGTAAGCTAAATTATCCGTGTTGAGCACTTGCATTAGTAAAAGTATAATGCTTGGAGACCAAATTTGTTAAACCAAATTTACAAACTAAATGATATGGTTGTAGATTATTGAATTATTGAGTAAATGTCAATTAACATGTTTGTTTCTTGTTAGTGACACATAATTTGGTTTATAAATGTGGTCTTCCTAGCATTATCTCCAAAATTCTCATTGTACACTCTAAACTTTTTATATTTAGAAAGAAAAACACACTCGTAAAGAGTATACAATAAAATTTTTGGAGTGTCAATAATAATTCTCTATTTTTAACTCTATTTGATTTAGCACGACTATTTTCTTAAAAAAAAAAAACATTCGTTTACTTGCTTACTTTAAAGAGCGGAGGATAACTTTGAAGCTTTTTTTTTGTCTAGTAAGGTAGTTTACTCACTATAACGAGTAAGGCTTTACTTCATGGCTTTAAACTTTAAAGTTGCCAACTTGAACCTAAAGTTTTGGTCTTCATTGCTCCACGTACTTGTTTAGTTCTTAAATAATCCATATAGATTGGATAGGAGGAGGTTATATTTGTTTAGTCTTCTTCATAAGAAAGATAAATTACAACAAAAACGCACGAGGGCATCCTTCTCCAAAAATGTCAAAGGAAGAGTACTGTAAAACATTGGATTTGGAACAGTAACAGAAAGTAATTATGTTTATGCATTCTGATGCAGCTTGGATCCCCATTGATCTTCTTCCTCTCTAACAAAACACTTTCTTGAAATCACTTATTCAAAAGGAAAGCAAAACATGAACAAGGGCATGACCTTCAAAATGGAGAATAATAAATTCTCCAACATTGCAAAACACAACGCTCATTTTGTCAAAATTAGCGTAATTTTCAAACTTCCGTTTTCTCTTTCTGCATATCTTCTTATTTCTCTCTTTGATTTATTCAATCCAAAGACGATAGAAAAAAATAAAACTACAAAACAAAACGAAGCATACAAAAATCTCTCCCCCAAAAGAGGCTACTCTTGGTCTCCAAATTTTCGTTTTTGTTGTTAAAACTTTGTTTAATAGGATCACCATTTTGTACTTTTATTGAATTTTGAAGTTTTTTTTTAACAATCCATATTTACATTAAAGAGAGAGGGAGGCTTAGCCTCACAATGGACTAGTAATAATATGGTTCAAATTCGTCTTTTGCGAGAATCAAATATAAGATCTCTCACTTACAAATGAAAAAAAAAACCCACTAGATTGTAATACTAAATGGTAAATTTTAAAGATTTTTAAATGAAGAAAATAGAAAATGAATGAAAACCCCTTTTTGTCTTTTCAATGTATTTTCTTGCTAAAACCTTCCTTTTGTCTTGGTGGAGGGCCTCACCTACGTCCTTCATACAGTAAAGGAAAATTACTAATTAAAACGAAAAAGATAAAGCCAAAGGCAGAGCAAAAGCAGAGAGAAAGAAGAGAGAGAGACTGTGTGGGTGGGGGGGACAGGCTAAGACAGTACATTACCAACACTCTCCACCCTCCTCTCTCTCTCTCTCTCTCTCTCTCTCTCTCCTCCCCTCTCTCTCTCTCTCTCTCTCTGTCTTCTGTTATACAGTCGAAGTCGAAAAGCCATCACCACATTGGCTTTTTTTTGCCTTTTGTTTCTGTGTTCGTATGCAATTGTCTACGTCTACTGCTGCTTCTGCTCCCTCTTCTAACTACCTGTAAATGGGGGGGGAGGAAATGGAATCATACTTTGAATTCCTTGTTATCATTTGATAAACCACTTCTTCTTCTTGCTCTTCTCTCTCTCTCTCTCTCTCTCTCTCTCTCTCTCTCTCAGCTTTTCTCTCTCCTTCACTCTCTGAAATTTTCCTCCAAGCCAAACATGATTTTCTTCTTTTCTGTTCATCTCCTCTTTTTGCTTTCTGGGTTCCCTTCAAAACATCAAAACTCCTTGAAATGATTTGAATTTCGCCTCCCCATTTCAAATTTCCCCTTTCTGCTTTCTGGGTTCTCCTCACTTCTCCCATTTGGTTACTCATTTTCTTGTTTTTTATTATCTTGTCAATTTTTCTTTTGGGACTGCTTATCTGGGAAGCACTTTTTCTTGAGTAATTCTGGGGAACATTCATGGAAATTGATCTGAACCATGCAGTGAGGGAGGTGGAGAAGAATGCTTATTGCAATGGGGATTGTGGCGGTGTTTGTGTTTATTGCTTGTCCTCTTCAACTTCTTCATCTTCTTCCAATTCATCCTCAGCTCCTGTGGCTTCCTCAATTTATCTGGAGCTTTGGCATGCTTGTGCTGGCCCTCTCATCTCACTCCCCAAGAAGGGGAATGTGGTTGTCTACTTCCCACAAGGCCACTTGGAGCAAGTTGCCTCCTCCTCTCCTTTCTCTCCCATGGAGATGCCCACCTTTGATCTCCACCCTCAGATCTTCTGCAAGGTTGTGAATGTCCAGCTGCTTGTGAGTAACCTTTCCATATGAAACTCCCAACATTGTATTTAATTTGTTATTATTTTCTCAAATGTTTTCTGGGTATTTAATTTGGTTATTGAATTTGTTGCTTCTTGAATTAACAGGCTAACAAGGAGAATGATGAGGTCTACACACATGTCACCTTGCTTCCTCAGCCTGAGGTATGATTGTAATAAACAATGAAATTTGGAGTGGAGTTGTTCTATTTAATTCTTTACTTTTTATTGTTGTGGACTTGAAGTTTCTGTTGGAATGCTATTTTTTCGTAGTGGCTGCTCAATTTTATCGGTTTATAGCGGTTCTAATTGGGATGTGGATTTCGGGTATTCTGTAGTTGGTAGGAACAAATTTGGAAGGGAAAGGGCTTGAAGAGGTGGGAGTGGATGAGGGGGATGGGGATCACCTACAAAATCAACCCCTCACATGTTCTGCAAAACGCTTACAGCTTCTGATACCAGTACACACGGAGGGTTTTCCGTTCCTCGGAGAGCTGCTGAAGACTGCTTTCCTCCATTGGTATGAATAAATGCATTTATATTTCTCTGTTTTCCATCGAAGGTTTTTCTATTTGTATATCTTTTAATAGAGTTCTTTTATCGGTAGGACTATAAACAGCAGAGGCCATCTCAAGAACTTGTTGCAAAGGACCTACACGGGGTAGAGTGGAGGTTTCGACATATTTATAGAGGTAAATTATTTAGAATTCTCTATCGGTTTGATTGATAGTTAATTTGGTATGATTCTGAGCGTATTACTCCTCAGGTCAGCCAAGGCGACATCTGCTTACTACAGGATGGAGTATTTTCATAAGCCAAAAGAATCTTGTAGCGGGGGATGCTGTGCTATTTTTGAGGTAACTGCAATTAATTGACTATTTTAGTTTCAAATTGATCATGGCTTAGGAATCACTCAAATTTGTTTCTCTACCTATTCAAGGGCTATCGTCGATCTTTTAACAGGTGAGAAGCAGCCAAAAGTAGACCTTTTGCCTGAATGACGTTAATGTTTGATTCTTTCGGAGATTTCCTTGTGAAGAGCTATTAATAATTACTAAGGATCATAAAAAGTGTTGATTTGCCATATTGTAGTTGGTTGAGTATACATATTTATTTTTCTCTGTAAAAGAATCTCTACTGCTGGAATGCAAATACTTTTATGTCCAAAGGTGAAAATAGATTTCCGCACATGATAGGATGTAGACTTATGTTACGTGTACTGCGTACTATTAGGAAAGAATATTATGTCTTTGGAACAAGAATAATTTAACTTCTATGAGAAGCTAAAAGTTTCCTTGATTTTGTTCATTGTCTGGTGACCTCGGTAACTTAAATACTTTACAATGGTCTTTGTAGGGGTGAAAATGGAGAGCTGAGGTTGGGAATTAGAAGAGCTGTTCGACCTAGAAATGGTCTTCCTGATTCTGTTGTAGGCAACCAGAATTCGTACCCCAGTGTTCTTTCTCTCGTGGCTAATGCGATATCCACCAAGAGCATGTTTCATGTATTCTACAGTCCAAGGTACTAGTACAATACTATTCCGCTTTACTTTTTGGTGATGTTAGTTTTGACACAGTTTTTATGAACCCTTAATATACTGTGCATTTTCATACTTAAACATTTTTCATTTGATCACTAAATGTGGCGTATCTGTACGATTGCACATTTTTTGTGTACGATCTAAATATGCTTGTACTGTTCTCGTGGTAAAGAAGCACAAACTATAGAAAACAAGAACTTGACGTGATTACTTAAATAGGGAGATGACGTTAATAAGTTAGTACACTACTTTGTTAATACGGTTCCATAAACAAGTACGGCAAGTGCTAGTAAGTTGGGGCATTTCCACTTTTGGATCTCACAACAGTTGGCATGAGTTACACGGAAAGCTACCGATAAATCTAGTAATCTTTTAACTTCAGAATCTACCAACTTGTTCGTCCTGTGTTTTGTGCAAACCGTTCTTTTAGGGTTTATTCTCTTTTGACGAGGCTTAATTATGGTTACTTTCATTCCATTGTATGCTTAATGGAAGTAACCTCTCTTTCCATTGCTCAAATCATCTGTCAAAAACAAAAACAGATTTTTTTTTTTTTTCACCAAGATTCGTGAACATGCATGGACGGGGTTACGCATTTACAGAATCTTTTTAAATTTCTGTGATGCAGGGCAAGCCATGCAGAATTTGTCATTCCCTACCAAAAATATGTCAGAAGCATCGCTAATCCGGTGACTATGGGGAATAGATTCAAAATGAGATTTGATAGGGATGATTCATCTGAAAGAAGGTATTTATAAGTTTGATTCAATGGCATGGCCTGCATGTTTTCCTTGTTAGACATTTTATTGACACAATACAGATTCTGATTTCTTGTAGGTGTAGCGGTGTAGTGACTGGTATCACCGACTTGGATCCGTTTCGATGGCCAAACTCAAAATGGAGATGCTTGATGGTATGCTTCGTATTTTATCTTCCTTTTTAAAACCGATAATGAATTGCATGCCGTGTTATTCTGAGAGAGAGAGAGAGAGCTGAATTATTGAAATGCGTCTATGCATGCATTGCATATGCACTTCGTGTAAAGAAATGACAGGTTCACAAACTGTAGTTCAATTATTGCAGGTGTTGCATTTACACCTTTATTTGTTACGTTACCAGGTCAGATGGGATGAAGATATAGGAAATGATCATCAAGAAAGAGTCTCGCCGTGGGAGGTTGATCCTTCTGTTTCTCTCCCACCTTTGAGCATCCAGTCTTCTCCAAGACTGAAGAAACTGCGGACAAGTCTGCAGGGAACCCCACCCGTCCACTCCATCACTGGTACGAAACTTCCCAATAACATCGCAAGCATTTTTTACATCATCATTAGTCCTCAATATGTGAATTTTCTTGCAGCTGGAGGGGCTGGGTTTAAGGACTTTGAGGAATCAGTTAAATCCTCTAAGGTCTTGCAAGGTCAAGAAAATATAGGTTTCATATCACCCCTCTACGGGGGTGATACTGTAAACCGCCCGCAAGATTTTAAGATGCATGCTTCGGCACATCTAAGTCTTGCATCAAATGCAACACAGAAGGCTAGTATTGATGAGCTTATGAGGGCTCACCGCACCCCCTACACAGGATTTGCGGAATCAGATAGATTTCCAAAAGTCTTGCAAGGTCAAGAAATATGCCCATTGAGATCGTTGACAGGAAAAGCAAATTTCACCCTGGGTGATTGGGAATCCAACAATGGTTGCGCACCTTTCAACGTTTATCAACCGCCCAAACCAAATTATTTCTCTCTAGCTTCTGGATCCCTTCCAAATATGTACTTTCCTTATGGTGACATTCACAGAGCTGGCCAAGATCCCACAATGTGCTCTAATGCTACTAACTTAGCCAGAGAGAAAGTGCAAATCAACCCATATTCTATGCAGATGGGAGTTGCGAGAAATGAAGTTGGAAGGCCAAATAAACCTAGTGAGCATAAGACACAGGAGAGTACTTCTACCCTTCCCGCTTTAGTGCCAATTCCAAGAAATCCAAATGATAAAGACTATAACGGGACTGTTACTGGGTGTAAACTTTTTGGTTTTTCCTTGACTGGGGACAATCCCTCTCCAAACTCTCAGAGTTCCAGTAAGCGGAGTTGTACAAAGGTAAGCTATTGTAGCCCTCAAGTTGGACTGTAAAATGCCATGCCTAGGACATCTTTGCCAACTGATGTTACATATATTGAGTGAAGGTTCACAAGCAAGGCAGCTTAGTGGGAAGAGCCATTGATCTCGCAAAACTGAATGGCTATGGTGACCTGCTGACCGAACTGGAGCGGCTGTTTGGCATGGAAGGCCTTCTTCGAGATTCTGATAAAGGATGGCGGATCTTGTACACTGATAGTGAGAACGATATGATGGTTGTTGGGGATGACCCATGGCAGTACGTCTCTCTCTCTCTCGGAAAGTAGAATTTTATATCTAGTTCTGCATTTATTAACTTTTGTTTTAAGTTTGTTAACATAAATGTAGCTGTAAGTTTTGTTTCTGAACAATTCATACAAGTGCTTTTTGTATATGACCTTTCGGAAATGATGTGTTCTTGGTGCAGTGAGTTTTGCAATGTGGTCTCCAAAATCCATATATATACCCAGGAAGAAGTGGAGAAGATGACCATCGGAATGATCAGCGATGATACTCAAAGTTGTTTGGAACAAGCGCCAGTCATGCTTGAAGTGTCAAAGTCCTCATCCGTGAGCCAGCCGGATGCTTCTCCGACGGCTGTCCGGGTCTAAAAATAATGAAATTCAGGGTGGTCATTGTGATGTTGTAATCTTATATCTGCATATGCAAATAATGCACACCAGAACCTAATTATGTATTTGATGGAGTTCCTAGTCCTATGTTATGTAGTTGCGGTTGTCTTAGTCTTGAAAACGAGACATGTTTGGCCTTCCGGAGATTGACGTCTTTCCGATTGACGTTTGATTATGTAGTACTGTAACTTTTTATGAGTATAAATTGTTGATGTGTGCTATTATTCTGTAGGTTTCCAACATATTGGAGAAGATGAAAGGATTTCTAGTAGGGTTTCTTTAGGATGCTTCCCTCCACATCAATGATTTATTCATGACTTTGGTTCAAACATTAAAGATTATGCTGTCTCTAACTGAACATTACAGAGATGAAACGAAGTCTGGAGTCTACGACTGCTGAACCTCGCTACCACCACGGGTAAATACAAGTATGGTTTGACAGCAAAAGTGAAAAAGTAATGAAATTTCGTAACTTTTAGTGTTTTTATTACCCGAAGAACACTGTGATTCTCGTTTTCTGATCATGGATGCACCAGTTGCTACGATCCTTCGTGATTCGGCATTCGGGAATGTGCGAGTGAAAGAAACTCAAATGGCGGACTGCAACACCCGGTGTATCTTGAATGCAGTGCCCGAGAGGCGAGAGCTGCAAACATTTCAGCTCAGTAATTGAACATGTGCATTCTGATCTCACTATCCCAGCTCCGATCTCATACAGTTCGGCATCGCGAAGGAGACAGGCCAGTTGGTTACTCATTTACATAACCATTACCACCTAAACATTGTATAGCCTGCAACGTTCAAATAAACTTGTTCACGGCACTTGTAAAGTTATCATGCACAAGCTCTCATCTGTTTGTTACAAGCATATGGATATACAGATCCCAGTTCTAGTTACGAAAAACCTCTAGGAAAAAAAATCACATGAACGAAAATTCGCAACTTTATTAAGGGCATTCGAGCAATATGTAGAAAACTAGTCGTCTGGCCAAGATAAGACTAAATTGATTGGCCCGAACGAGGCTTATGTTTGAGTAGAAAAATTACACATCTGCAGAAGTAAGTGCAGAATCTTTTACCTGCAAAGCAACCTGCGTGGCTCTTTCAGCCGTACATAGTATAACTCCAGCACAATCCTGAAAATGAGTACCTTGAAGAGTTATTGTTTGCAAATGCTAACAGCTTGTAAGATCACTTACTAAAGTGAAAAAAAAGAATTTAGAATCCCCAACAGCAGTTACAGCACCTTAGGGTCAATTTTTCCATTGTCACACTCCCTGGCAACAGAATACACGTAGGACCTGAAAACGAAGGGAGGAGAGAAAGAAAGAGACGGATAACTCTGTTACCATTTGAGTATTAGAAGAAAGAAAAAGCAGTCAAAAAAAGGAATACGAATCCTTTACCTTGATGATTGCAAACAAGTATAAATGTCAGCAAAAGCAACTGACCAAAGTTAAGTTGGCTTCTGTACACTGAGAGATGGCCTTCTCTTCTTTCAATATTTTATAGTGCAGATAGAAAAATGTTTAGGCAAAGATGGAATTCGTATATTCTTCATTAAATCACATTGGACATCGTTTGAGCGGATACAGACTGTTCCTTCGTGATGGAACTCGGATGCCTCGTTTGATCAGATGTGTATATTGTATCTGGTGTTAGAGGAAGTGCAGAATTTTAAGAAATGGGTTCAGTCCTCCTCCTATAGCTATCATTTCCTCCATTTCTTCTTCTGTCCGACTTATATCCTTGATAGAATTATCACATAAAAAACAAACGAGAAGTTAAACCAAGCCATAAATATGTCTACGAATTTCATATCAGTCCATATACTCTGCTTCTCCAACAGATTTCATCATCTTAAAAGAAGAGTAACGGAAAAGTTGCCCAATCACTTGATAGATTAAATTAAAATAGCACATATCATTCGTCACTATGTGATGTGTGAATCAAATGGCTACATGAACTGGACTCAGCAGTGGAACAACTCCCTCCAATGCAGCATTCAAGGGAAGGATGCACCGAAGGTTGTCCAAACTGCAAAGATGTAAATCAATTTCATCACGATCTTTCTATTAATGCCAACATAGCGGGTGAATTAACGATCAACTCCATAGTTGATGCATCTGCAGAAAAACCCCTCACCATCATTTCTTGAATAAGTCTCATAGCCCTTGATGTCTCGTAGTTATTGATAAACCCTCGGATAATTGTGTTGTACGTGCAATCATTTGGAGAACAATCTCTCTCTTCCGTTTCTCTAAGCAAGTTTTCTGCTTCACATGTTAGTCCCCCATTACAAAATCCACTGATCACTATAGTATATGTCCTGACATTAGGTTGAATTCCTTTTGACGATAAACGACGAAAGAGATCCCATGCATATTCAACTTTTTCAGCTCTGCACAAACCTTCAATAAGAATATTATAAGTTACAATGTTAAAATCCAACTTCTTTCCCTCCATCTCTTCCAACAATTCAACTGCCTTGGGAAATTGTTGGTTTTTACAAAGGCCATCCAGTAAAATATTATACGTTTGAATGCCTGGAAGTTGGCCACAAGCTTGCATTTGAGAGAACAAGTTTTGCGCATCTTGTGTTCTCCCCATCTTGCAAAACCCATCAACAAGAGTGTTATAAGTAACCGTATTTGGAACAACTCCCTTATGAGACATTTCCAAAAAAATCATCCGAGCATCTTCTATCCTTTTACGCTTACAATAGCCATTTATCAATATGTTATAAGTACGAGCATTAACCATGCAGCCTTTGCTAAGCATTATTTCAAAAACCTTTTTCGCCTCGTCCATTTCTCCTCGCAAACAGTAACCATCTATAAGCGTATTGTACGTAATTGTATCGGGTTCTATATCCCCTTGCGTCGTCATTTCGACCAAGCTCCTTGCTTCCTGGACCATCCCCTCTTTGCAGAATTTATCAACCAAGACATTGAAGGTGTGCACATTTGGAAAGATATGTTTCTCCACCATTTCATTCAACAATCTTGTAGCTTCTTTCCACTTCCCTAATTTGCAAACTCCATGAATCAAAGAGGTATAGGTCATGACAACAACTAGAGCATCTTTGCAAAGAGTGTCGATGATCGTGTTGTCGACAATTACGTTAGGCATGCAAGCATTTTCTTCCATCTTATTAAGCAATTGGATAGCTTCAATGCTGTTACCTTTCAAGCAATGGCCCTTTACAAGTGTGTTGAAAGTAACCACATTCGGCCTGCAATTACCTCCCTCCATCATTTTGTTGAAAAGTGCTGCTGCCTCAGCCTCTCTACCCTCACAAATAAATCCACTGATTAGAGTGTTGAAGGTCGTGACAAATGGATCAAAACCCAATTTGAAGAATTTTCCCAAGATAGACAAGCTAAACCCCATTTGGTGCATATGGCAAAAGCAATTAATGATAATGTTTAGAGTATAAACATTAGGACAAATTCCCGACACAACCATTTGGTTATTCAAGGAGATGACTGTCGAGTAATGCTTCAACTTGGCAAGTTGACCCAACATTTGAGTGAAAAGGACAACGGAAGGCAGAGGACGCCTTTGAAGCATTTCGTCGAACCCATTGGGAGCATCCTCCACATTAGTGATTTTCACAAGCTGGTGTTGTTGGGTGCTTCTAGATTCGGTCGATTTAGAACACATTGCGAGCATCCGCCAGTTTTTCCCTTGTATTGGGATAAGAAATCCAAATTTCTCTTCAGGTTGGTACTTACTAGCATATGCTTGCTTAATTAAACATCATCAGTTGGGAGAAGGCACAATTGTAGTGTTTTACTGATCTTTGTTTCAGTGAAGGATGCCACTGTGGGATTTCATATTGCTTCTGTGCCACGGGATCACGGTTGAATATGTGGGGATTGCCCGGGGCATGCATCTTAGTTCTTCAGCCCTGAGCATCCTCCCTGTTATGGATTCAGAAATGGAAGACTGACGGAGCCAGACTTTACTTGCATTTGCCTTCTTCTTGCATACATTACCAACAGGACTCGCGAACCTGCACATCAACAACTCAAGGCATTTGTTTCAATGGTGAACTTGCCAGAGAGGACTGTTCGAAGCTTATTTAATGTTGTTCGATGTTGGACGATTCTGCAGATGATTGACTTGCGCTGTTTGGAGATTATGGAGATTATTCCACCTCTTTCAGTCGGCAGATGATTGAGTTTGATACCTGCAATCCGGCATCTCCATAGTCACAATTTGGATTCCGTTTGGATGAGATAATTAAGAAATGATTTGGATATGACAAAATGAATAGATTAGATTAACAAGAAAAACTATTCAATGTATTTTATATGGATTTCACTAAGTATTATTGTAAGGAACGTAATATTTTCGAAACTGAAATAATGAGATTGAACAAGTCAATTTTAATTCCATTTCTCCTAAATAAATGTGTTGTTTCAACTCAAGCGAATGGAAGGACATTACTTATAGAAGAGGACTTATCAACTACAAATTCATCAGCTTATGAAAGGACCCTACAAATTTCATATCAGTCAATACTCTGCTTCTCCAACAGATTTCATAATCTTAAAAGAAGAGTAACATAGTTGCTCAATCACTTGGTATATTAAATTAATAACAAATATCATACGTCACTGGGCAATACAAAGATGCAAATCAAATTCATCATGATGTTTCTATCAATGCCAACATTGCGGGTGAATTAACGACCAACTCCGCCGTTGATGCATCCGCAGGAAAACCCCTCTCCACCATTTCTTGAATAAGTCTCATAGCCCTTGATGTCTCGTTGTTATTGATAAACCCTCGGATAATTGTGTTATATGTGCAATCATTTGGAGAACAATCCCTCTCTTCCATTTCTGTAAGCAAGTTTTCTGCTTCACATGTAAGTCCCCCTTTACAAAATCCACTGATCATTATAGTATATGTCCTGACATTAGGCTGAATTCTTTTTGATGATAAACTAAGAAAGAGATCCCATGCACATTCAATTTTTTCAGCATTTGAGTCAAGATTTGGTTGAAAGGGACAACGGAAGGCAGAGGACGCCTTTGAAGCATTTCGTCGAACACAGTGAGAGCATCCTCCACACCAACCTGCAAAAGAAGAAGTAATCGCAGCCCGTATAATCTTCAGCAGCTCCAAGTCAGCGAGTTGAGACTCTCTCACAAATCAAAGAGTTGTTGTAGAACTGTGTTTTTGCCCTATGTTTCCCATTTTCGAAGTTAACAGGATCTCTTGTATCTTCTCTTTTATCAGTATATACATGACAGAGTATAAAATAGGTGCCGCGGATGCAGGTCCATTGAATTAGAAATATACACAATACTTAACTACTTAAAGATGAGTACGAATTTCTACTCAAAATTTCTCAAAATTATTCGTTGTCAATTTATAGAATTTCGTAATCAGAATGTTCAAATTATAAATCATCCTATAAAGATCTCTTCTATAAAAAATCAATTAAAAATAATATTATTTAGTCATCAAATTGTTTGAAAACAAATGAACAGTATTGGTAAAAGCATTAGGAACAGTCTGTGTATTTGCTGAAATAGATTGACAAAACGTCCTTAGTTTTAATTTATTTTTGCATAGATAATCTTTACAGTGTGGTTCATAATATGAACCGTTCTGATAATAAGTACAAAACTTTATAATTAAAATACTAAAATTTTTAAGTAAGAACCCTTACTTATCTTTGAATAGTCCAGTATATCTAGAAATATAATCTGAAATGAAGAGATGGATGCCTATCAACCCATCCACCTTGAGATTTTGATACATTTTCTGTGGCCTTTGGGTCGGTACACGTTTGCCAGTATGGCCAGCCCTCCTGTATTAATGTACTACTGATGGGATGCATCTGAAAAAGCAGCAGCATCACCCACATACATGGAAGGGGTTCCTCCTTATTAGTAAGTTCTGAAATTCAGATCATTAAAATTTGATTCAACAGTTATAAATAGATGATTACTTTAAAAGTTATAATAATTTTAACTGTTGAATCAAATTTTAACGCTCGAATCCCCAAACTTATGGATTAAGAGGAAGGAATCCGGAGAGAATTCCTTTCTCACATACATATATTCCAATAAAATCAAGATAGTTGATTTCGTTTGACTTATTCAACCGAATGATCAAAATTTAAGATAGGTGTGTGAAACAAAAAGAGACTTCTGAAAATCAACTCCCTATATATATATATCGTGCAAAAGATATTTTTTGAATCACGACTTGCTACACGCGACTATACATTTTTTTAATCACATTATTGCTAGCTCAATGTAAGGTTAAGCTCATCCCCTCTCCCTTAGTGTAAAGGGTTATTATACAAAATGGTCCCTGAGATTTGCATGGTCAATAGAAATGGTCCCTGAGATTGTCCACCATCCATGATTTTGGGCAATTTTCAAAGCTTTGTAACTCAATCGTTTCTTAACCAAATTCGACTCATAATATATCAAAATGAAGATAGGAAAGTGTAGAATAAGATTATAGATATTTGGAAGCCTAATGGTTACCAGAGATAGCCAGAAAATAGCCTGAAAAGTGACTCGTCCGCCGGAAAACTGGAAAACTGGAAAACTCGCTCGAAACTGGGTAAACTTTAAACATTCATAACTTATTCAATACTCAACCAAATTGAGTGATTCAAAAACAAAAATAATACTTCTTGACGAGACGAAGAGAATGGTACATTTTTGAAGGCTAAATCATCGTGGATTGGTTAGACAACGGCTCAAAAGTGGTTAACCATTTTCGAGTTAGCCACTTTCGAGTAGTTTTCCGGTCAAATAACGGCGAGTTAGCAGTAAAGAAAGATACCATTCTCTTCATCTCGTCTAGAAGTATGATTTTCGTTTTGAATCACTCGATTTCGTTGAGTATTGAAGAAGTTATGAACGTGTAAAATTTACCCAGTTTCCAGCGAGTTTTCCAGTTTTCTCGCGAACCAGTCACTTTTCAGCTATTTTCCAGCTATCTTCGGCAATCATTGGGCTTCCAAATAAATATAATCTTGTTTTACACTTTCTTATCTTCATTTTGATATATTATGAGTCGAATTTGGTTGAGAATTAATTGAGTTACGAAGCTTTGAAAATTGCCCAGAGAGTTTTTAACGGAATGACCAAAATCATGCATGGTGAACAATCTCAGGGACCATTTCCATTGATTTTCAATCTCAGGGAGCATTTTGTATAATAACCCTAGTGTAAATAATATAGGTTGTTCAAAAAAAAAAAAAAATCATTTGACAACTAATTAAATCACATTATTATGCATGTGCGAAAAACCTTTTTTATAACCGGCACTACGCCTCTTAAGATGTTATGAACATATTTAAAAATAGAGAAAATATATTTAATAAACAACTGATTGAATCACATTATTGTTAGTTCATTGTGAGTTACTAATTATAAATAAAAAATTGCACAAAAAATTAATTATAAAAAACACTATTTATATGACAAAAATATCATTGCATTATTTGATGCATTATTATGGGCTGCTATTGAACTTTTTTGTTTGTGGGGCATGATTATCCCATTATTTTTTGTGAAGCCCATGACCCCAAATGGGGCTACTAGCATTATATAGTAGTATAGATATTCTCGAAGAGGAAGTATATACACTCCCACATGTATGCAACAGCTGAAAGGCAGTATAAGTAATTTACACAAGACGACACACTAATCATTATTATTTTTTTTTTTGAACAAATGATATTATCTACATTAGGGGGAAGGGGTGAGCTTAGCCTCACAATGAGTTAGTAATAATCTGGTTCAAACTCGCATTTGATAAGAATCAAACTTAAGATCTCTCACTTACAAGCATCGTTTAAAATTTCTTCGATATGGTCATTCTATGGAAATATCCAATAAATCAGAGAAAGGTATGGAAATGGGTGTGAAGTCTAAACTTCACCTCATATCGGAGAAGCTCTTAACGTTTAGTATGAAATCGACATATATTGTCAATATTTTTGACACATGTTTTAAATATCGGAGAAACTCTTATATTTCGTCCAAACCAATGTTTGACAATACTCAAAGTTTCATTTTAAATTTTCATTATTTCCATTGAAAACAACCGATATCTATGTCGATATTTGATATATCCGTTGATATTTCCACAAAATTGCATATTGATATTGTGGATGCAAATTTCTTCCTCTTTGATCTTGGAAAAAATTGCACCTACAAAACAATTAACACCTTAGATCAAGGCCAAGAACCTCACGCGCCCACGATGTTTTTTTTGGGGGGGGGGGGGTGTGGCTTTGGCCGAAGAACCTCCGATGCCAAAGTTAGAATTTGGTGGGAAAAGTGTTTGAGAATTTTTGAAAATTTTAGCAAGAGAATTGAAAGTGCACTTTGAGGAGAATGATGGGGTTTAAATAGGAGAGTGGCCGGTCTCCTTGGGTGAGAGAGGACCGGCCACCTAGCTCCCTTTGTGGGCTAGATTCTTGATTTGTGTTAAATTGGGAGTCATGGAATAATTACCTAATCAATATAATAAAAAAAGGGAAGATTTGGGAAGTTACCTTGTGGAGAGGATTGGATGAGGATGGATGAGATAGGTTTTGAATTGTTTGCCTATTTTGGGCATTTTTGACTTGGTTGAGTGATGATTGCCTGCTACTCGCGCGTAGGAAGCTCGGTATGCCCCAAGGGTATTTTTGTCCTCTTATACCCAAAAATATACGTGTCGCATTGTGATTATTTTTGACGCCACAGATATTTCCACATATACTGATATTTTAAACATTGCTTACAAGTAAAGAGGAATATCACTAGACCGTAGTACTAAGTGGCACACTAATAACTATTAAACAATGTTACAAATAGAAATTTGAAAAAATAGTCAATCTAAGGGGCACTTATTAAAATATAACCTTTTTAATTTTTTCAAATTCTTATAAATATAACTAAATTGATGTTCAGAAGACTTAGTTATCTTTAGACTAAAACTCTCTCTTCCTCCCAATTATTTTTTTACTATGAACTCCCTCGTATGCCTATTGTTGAACCATCAGGTTCAAGGCATCACTGCACTACTTTGTTATCTCTACTCAAAATCAATTAGCAGATGCCCCCACACTTTTGTAATATGTGAACATTTTTCATTCTTACTTTAAAAATAGAAAGAAGAGGAAGGGAGAGAGAGAACGTGGGAGTGGAAGTGGAGGAGTGAAGATAGGTTTTTGTTTTTATTTTATATTAGATATATGTTAAAATCATGTAGGTGAGGCTTCAATAAAAATTCACACATTTGCAATTAGTGGAATAATTGTTGGAGACTCAAATGGTAATGTGCAAGCATGATAACTTTTTATGTTGTTCAACATCTCCACGAATATAAAAACTTGCACTTATATTCCAACTAACGGCAATTTGTTTAGTTACAAGTTTATAACCAAGAAAATGTTTTGACCTAGGATAATAAACTCGTGAGCTTAAGTCATCTCCAATAGAAATGACTAAAGGTCTAAAAAATAAATAAATAAATAAATAAAAAGTCAAATTTGCCCAAATATCCATCTTCAATGTTTGGCTAGACTATAATTTTATCGAGTCCACCAAATTTTTTTTTTCTTTTGCCAAAATGGCATCGGGTTGACCAAGTGAAGCCCCCCTTCCAGCCCGTTTTTAAGGGCCTAACTCTTCTGCTACATAAATTAATTCAAATCCAAAGGCCAGAAAAAAAAATTGATAGTTGAGAGGCATCGTTTGTGTGGAAACGGATCCTCTCCGGATCCCTTCCCCCAAATCCACCCAATCACTTAATCTGGGCTCTTGAAATTTGATCTAACGGCTACAAACCCTTGATTAGGCCAAATTTCAGGTTTAAAAAAAATTGTGTCTAAATCCAAAAAACTTGATTAGCCTTGGTTGTTGTTGATTGTATGATGAAATTTTTTAGCTAAGCTTCTAGCTCCAAACCCTTGATTAGGGGTGGGCACGGGTCGGGCCGGGCCCAATTTTGAAAGGACCGGGCCGGACCCGGGTGCAAACGAAACGGGCCAGGCCGGGCCGGGAACAACATATTCTAATATAGGAACCGGACCTAACCTGGCCCGGTTGAAAAGGGCCGGTTCGGGCCGGGTCCTCAAGTTCTTTGTTTTTTTTTTTTATCCCGAAACCTCTACCTTCCTCGACGTCTCCACCTCCCTCGGCCAAGGCCACGCCATCCATCAGAGTTGAAACGGCCACGCTATGCCCAAAAGACCTCGTTTTGTGAGCTCCAGTCTACAACGGCGTAGAGAGCTTCCTCTATAACTCTCGATCTTACATCTCACAAATTGCACAGCCACCGTCCATCCTTCCACTTCTACCTTTGAAACCCTAAGGTCGTAGCTCTCTCTCTCAAACCCTTTCAACTCTTGGCCCCTATTTCTCTACACATCCGTCACTCTGCGAGCTTAGAAACCTAGAACCCACCTCCATCAAACCTACAACCCCCACACATTGGAGCTAGGAAATTAAAACCCAGATAGTGAGGTTGGTGTGAGCACTGTGAGGTGAGGGGAAGACGATTAAGAGTTGGAGTCCAGGGAGTCCAGGGAGAGGCAATGGAGTGAAGGGAGTGATTCTGGAACCTTGAGGAAGCTAGAGTTGATCTTGAAACTAACGGTTGAGATTGGATGATAACTTATCATCCAATATGGGCCATTCATTATAATTAGAAACAGGTCGGTCCGGGTACCCGTTTTTCTACACTTATGGAACTGGCCCGAACCTAAAGTTTCAAAGCCCGGCC